GAAAGAGTATATATAGACGAAGAAGGATTTGCTTAGGAAAAAGAAGAATGTTCATTCATTCATTCCTGGTTATTTTCGGAATATCAGTTAAATGTTGGTCTTATACTTCTGATTGTGCCAACTTTTCAGGTTGGTTACGGATATACCAGCAACAACTGCGGCAAGCTTTGGTAAGTAGTTTCTATTATATTATAGTCAGAGTAATGCCAGACTTACCAAATTTTTATACCACACTGTGTATCACCTCTCAAATAGAGGTGGAGCCCACCAATACAATATGGCTCACCTCTATTAGAGATGTGATACATAATGTGGTATAAAAATGTGATAAATCTAACATTTTCCTTCTAGTTATTGGGCTTTTTTTCTTGGTTTGAGGGGAGGCGGAGAAATACTTCTCTCCTTACCATATAAGTAGAAGCTCCTACATTCCTGCCAATAGTAATGTGACATATGTGCATAAAATTTTCAAAGAAATGTTCAATTGGGCTAGTCTACAGAAGGCATAATTAATTAACATTTGATTATACTTTTGGATGCAAGACCAATTTATAATGAAACCCCATGTACGTACATTTATTGATGTAGGGCAAGAGATTGTGTGTTATGAAAGCCCACGGCCAACGGTGGGGATTCATCGCTTTGTTTTGGTGTTGTTTCGGCAATTGGGTAGGCAAACAGTGTATGCTCCAGGGTGGCGCCAGAACTTTAATACCAGAGACTTTGCGGAGCTTTACAATCTTGGATTACCGGTAGCTGCCGTCTATTTTAACTGCCAAAGGGAGAGCGGCTCCGGAGGAAGGAGAAGATAATTAAGTTTGATATTATTAAGCGTGTCATACGTGTAATATTATTAAGGAAGCTAGTTAATTTATATATAACGTGGAAACTAATAATAATTTAGCGAGCTAGTGGTAATCAATCTCCTACTAGCTAGCTAGTCCATGCCTTGGCACTAAGGCACTAAGGCACTAGGGCACTAGGGCACCAGGGCACCAGGGCACCAGGGCACCAGGGCACAGCATGTTGTATGCTTGTTTGAGATGAGACTACATCCACGTACGTCTCCACTTTCGAATTAACAAGACTAGCTATATATATAATAATTCAGTAAATGTCAAAGTTCTCTTCTTTCGGTCTAAGGGGATGTCGACTTGTTATCTATCTATATATATAAAGCAAAAGATAGAAAATGATAAAATATTTAAAATACCATAAAATGTCATTCGTTAATTCAAACATTAAAAATTAAAATTATTAATTAAATGAGGATAATATAGTAACTTCACATTTTTTTATATATAAAAAAATTATAATTAAAAACAAAATTAGATAATAGGTGTTACTTTTATGAAATATAACTACACATATTATCTTTTCTTAATTCTAAAAATAAAATAAAAAATAAAACCAATTAGCTCACGCATGTGCTAAGGAACTAATACTTATAAATACAAAATGTGAGGGTGTAATTGTCGGTCAAATATTCATAATATATTATATTTGCCATATTTATTATAGAGATCAATTCAATTGTCGAATGATGAATTATTATGTACTTTCCATTCCATGCATGTAACATGTTGTCGTCTAGTGCTGGTCAGATGACATCGCGGTCAGCTCATCATGCATCATTTGTGCCAAATTCTGCACTATAATTCCCATTAATTCTCACATCCCATGAGTTTGACTAACACCAACAAAATATATTTTTTTTGTCATACCTGGCTAATAATAAACACACGCATGCAATTACGAATCTGACAAATTATTTGAAAAATAATTTTTTATTTAGAGAATAAATATATGTTTTTCAGTATGGCATTCCGTACTGTCTATATATGTTGTAAAAGAATCAATACAAAACAAATAAACTATAACTATATGGAATATATACTAATTAATGCACCTTTTGGCCAGATGTATTATATGCAGAGTTCTTCCAATATAAACTCTTAGACCATCTCCAACTATGTTGGGGCTAAACTCAAATTTTTACCCTCTAAAATACAACTATTCATGTATTTTCAGGACTCAAAATTTTTTTTCCTCCAATCTTGTAGACTCATAATTTGAGTCCGCAACTTTATTAAATTGTTTAAGAATGATTAACCCCTAAATTTTGTTTCTTGTTAATTTTTTGACATTATTTTTGTTTCAACACTCGTGATTTAATTTTCTAAACATTTTAACCTAAATAAAATAAAATTTCAAAACATAATTGAATTTCACTTAAAAAATAAAAATAAGTACAATACCATACATATGCCAGGAATAATTCGAACTCTTCATTGAATTATGTAAGTGTGTTTAAATTATCTAAGCATTTTTAAATAAACGACAATCATTAAATTTTGCCGTTGAGATTGCTTAAAATTAATCATGATTATTGATTACAAATATAGTTGTTGGAATATTTAAAATAAAAAAAACAAAAAAAAAATAAAAAAACAAACCAGCAATATCAGATTTTTGGCACAAAGTTGCTGCCCAAACAGTGTAACCAAAACTGGGCCCAGCAAACATTGTGCAGCACATGGGCTTCAGTCAGAAAAAAATAATAAAAAAAGCATATTTTTGGCCCACAAAATTATCAGTCCAGGCAAAAAAGGGACTGGAATTCCACCCAAGATTTGAGATTTCTCAAATTTCCACCCCCCAAAATACATGGGTTGGAGATGGTATTTGGAGGCTAAACTCAAAATTTGAGTTTCCACCCCAAGGGTTGGAGATGGTCTTACAACTACTATATCCTAGTTATATACTAATTTCTTTTTAAATTCTTACTGAAAACTCAATTTAAAATAGGTTTCCATGTGAGATAGATTTTTCATAGTATTATTAACTAAATTACATTATATGCCACATACCTTCATATTTTATTTATAATTTAGTTTCGAGCATGTCATTAACTACATTAATTATAATTAATACTTCCTATTAATAGCATATCAATCACCCCATTTATTTTGCTTGGCATTCCCTCTACACATCTCCAATCCCTAAAATTTCAAACAAACAAAAAATCCCTAAATTAGATATCCAATAAGTAATGTAACTATAAAAAATATAAATATGTATATAATATAGGTACTTTATTTACAATTTTTTTATATAAAAAAAGGATTCGTTACTTTGTAATTGAAATTTCTGTAAATATTTTTAGGGAGTTTCACTAAAACACCCAAAATGGGGGTTGAAATTATAAAAAAACCCAAGCACTATTTAAACATATAAACACACCCAAAACCCATCATTACACACACTCAAAACCCATTTATAAACACACCCAAAAAGTTGACTTTGGGGTTGATTTTGGGTGTGTTTCTATGTTTAAATAGTGCTTGGGTTTTTTTATAAATATATGTCTAGAATTGGGTTTATTTATAAATTTGTAATATTTTTAATGTACATTATTTATAAATTAAATTAATATTTATTTTTTTTGCCAGAAAATAGTACGTTGTGTAATTGAAATTTCTGAAGTACGGAAAATAGGTATATTATTCACAAAAAAAGGGTGGAAAAAATAGGTACATTATTTTATTTTAAAACATTATAGGTATATTAAATGTTTCTTCATAATAGGCCCTAAACGTGAATTTTTTAGATACTGAATATTATTATTTTTAAAAGAGCAAAAACTTACCTTAAAAATTCCTAAATTTAAGCAAATTTAAAAAACCATTTTTCTATCCAACAAAACACCATTTGAATATTACTGATATTGAATTGCAGCAAATATGTTCAAAGTATATTCAGCACAATCAATGGAGAAAACAACAATTGCAAATAAGTGGGGGTATTTTGGGAATATAAAAATTACAATAAATCATATCTTGAGCTTGGTAAGGTAACTTAAAGAGGTGAATCCTAATCATGAGTTTTTACTTATAAAAAACGGGTTTTAGTAATAGGAACAAAATGTAATGAATTGCAGTTAAGAAAAATTCAATTCGGAGGAGGTAAGCCAAATCTACTATTATATGTGTATTTGCTTCAAGAAGGCTTATATAGCATACAATACAATACCACACGGTCGTTCTTCTCTTAAACTTTAACCTCCATCTTCGGAAAATCGTAATCAGTATACAATACCCAGCTAGTTACACACATATAGATATGGTTCCAATGCTGTTATGGTTCCATGCAACAGCATGTTATTTACAATATATATGTGTCTTCTTTATATATATATATATATATATATATTCAATCATCTAATAAGAACTTGTGGAAGAGGGCTTGGAACTTTTGCATTTCCTTATGAGGAAGCGCCACCAAAATATTAACCCCAGCAGCACCAGCTCTTCCAGCCATAGTAGTAGTATTAGTAGGTGAGGCTGAGGATGAATATTCATGCATATCTTGTTGTTCAGGAAAGAGCAAAATGATATCCTTCCTGTGATATACAACGGGACAGCTGTACCTGGGTTTCCCCCAAGGATACTCCACGTCAGCAAAGCCCAATCTCCACCAGGATGAGACCAGCACCTCCCCGTGAGGAAAGCCCTTGTGTAGCTCTCCCCAGTCGATGACGGATCTTGCATACTCATCTGTCATCCTTGTTGCTCCCTCAGACACCATCTCCACCATTCTAGAGAAGGGCACTTCCTCCAGTTCCCTGCACTTGGCAGAAGCGTAGGCAGTCAGCACTGCATTCCCAGTGTAGGCTTTGGGCAGCGGAGGCTTCAGCCTCGGCCTTATGTCCACCGCATAAAGAATCCTTGATTCTCTACTACTACTACTACTTGCCGCCCTCTTGTAATTAACATCTTCATCATCGTCTGATGATGACGACGACGATAGTGCCTTGCACCGCCAAATGAGGGCCGTGACCACGTTAAAGCTACTACTAGCAGTGGTGGATTTCGCCTTGTCTTTGAGGCGAGCAACGTCGGTGGCAGTGAGCCGGAAGATGTTGAAGTCAAGCTCTTCTTGGGTGGCTTCAAACACTGTAGGGTTTAAGTCATCGAGGGTGGACATATTCTTGAGCTCTTGTAACTCAGGGTGGAGGAATGGGACATGGGGTGGGGATCGAGCAGCTAAGATATGACGGTCATTGTAAGGAATGGCTACCAAGGGCTTGTTCGCAGCCACCGCAGCCAGATTGTCCAAGAACAGTCTGAAGCTTAAACCATCAAATGTTGTGTGGTTGTTTGATATGCCCATCGCAAATCCACCACACTTAAATGTTGTCACCTGTTCAATTCATAATTAATTAATTCTTCAATCTAAGTTCGAACCACAAACTAACTAATTAAAACCACTACTGACTGAATATTTCCCTATATATATATATATAACATATTAACTGCAAAAAGAACTTACTAGTGTACTAGTTTGGAGTATTTACTCCTCATGCAAGGTTCTAGGTTTGAGTTCTAGCATGTGTGTAGTGTGTGTGAGTTTAGTATATTATACCCTCTCTCAATAGGAATGTCATAATATCTTGACAGCTTTCAATTATTACAGAGTTAGAGAGGCCAATAAGGTGAAGAGCCCAATCTACATCCGCACAAATTCAATAGTCCGGTGGTGAATAGCCTTTGAACTCAGCTGAGGAGTGAGTGGTAAAAATAATTTTTTACTAATGTAGCCAGTCCTACTAGCCTGTGAATCCTTTACCATTGATTATTTGGGACTCAATTTTTTTAATTTTTCTGTGAGAGGAGGAAGAGAAACAAAATGGAGAAGCGTGAGAAAGGGGAGAGAGGTGTGCACGCATATAGAAACTAACGGCAAAGGAGCTAGCCTATATCCAAAACGGTGTGTTGGTGAAAAAAATATATAGTTATATACTGATGTGGCTTAATGAAAGAAAGGTGGAGGTGTTAGAGAATCTATAATGGGCTCCTTAAATCACATCCTTAGACAAATTTTAGGAAGGATTTAGAAAAATACAACTTCAACCATTCTCCCTATCCACCTTCTAAAATATGGAGAGTTCTAGGAGCTCCTAAATATGATGAGAGAGAAAGAACTCCTAGTGGCTCCTTATAATTTAATGAGTATTTCAAACATTTAATTAATGTTAATTAATTTTTATATTAATAGAGATTGACCAATTAAAAAAGAGTTATAGTATTTATGACTCCCTAAATTAAAAAGCATGATTGGAGTTTAAATTTGATAGAAAGTTCCTAAAATAAATTTTATATATTTTTAGCTAAATTTTAACTAAAAAATAGAGAGCATGATTGTGTATGCTATCTATTTTTTAGCTAAAAACACTAGAAAGCTATTTTAGGAGCTCTCTAAAAAATTTCAACTTCAACCATACTCCCTAATTTGGAGAGTCATAAATGTTATAACTCTTTTTTGATTGATCTACCTCTATTTTTTTTTTAAAAAAAAGTTAGCATTAAATAAAGGTTTGAAATACTCATTAAATAAAGCAGAATTCAATTATAGGGAGTCACTAGGAGTCCTTTTTCTCTCCTTAGATTTAGGAACTCTTAGAGAACTCCCTATTTTAGGAGGTGGATAGGGAGCGTGGTTGAAGTTGCATTTTTATAATTTCTCCCTAAAATTTGTCTAATTAGGTGGTTTAGGGAGTCTATTATGGATGCTCTTAGATCTCTTAATTGGGAATCCAGATTCCAGATCAATCTATGCATAATGCATGCACCTACCCCCGTGGCCCGTGTACGTTACAATGGACGGAAAGTCATAATAATGCATGTGCAACAGTGCAAAGTGAAGGGATGCCATATTTGTCAGTCTCCTATAAGCTGATGAATATCAAAGACCAAGTTTGAGAAGCGACATATTATGGCTCATATGTATTGTGGTAGATTGAAAGGTGTAACATCACTTTTAAGGGTAAGGGTAATATGTACCACTCAATGAGGCAGCATATGTGGATGTACCATAGAAAACCAAATGGCACTGAATTAGAAGATGTAGCTTTATGCAGGATAAATGATGGTGAGATCAAAATAAAAAATTAATACCTGCAGAATAAAAAGTGGCTGATCATGATCATCGCCAGCAGCAGGGTTCAGAATACGAGAATCCATAGCGGTGCAAACCAGTTGTGCAAAAGCTGAATTAGGATAAACCAAGTCTCCAATCTCATCCAAAGCATACTCACTAGAGGCCACCACGAAGCCTGCTCCGGCTGCATTGCAGTCGATCTCTAAGCGACTTGTGTTGGGGTTCAACTTCAATCTTCCTGCCAAGAAATCATAGGGCACCAATATCTGGGCAAGGGCATCCTGGACTTTTTCAGCTACAATTTGGGATTGAGGAAAATCTTTGTGTGCGCCAAAGAAATGAACGGTTTGGACATCGAAATTGAGAACTTGGTCTATGTTTGATAAGAAGACGGTTTTTTTCTGTGTTTGTTGGGATGGGAAAATCAGGCATGAGTGGTGGACAGTGACCTTGAGATCTTGGAGGAGAGTGAGTTGATCATGGAGACTTCCCATGTTTCACTTAATTAGTGTTGGTATTGCCTTTAGCCTTGTAGAATTCTGATCATATTTATAGATATGATTTCGCACCAATTAATTAAAGATGTTTAAGAGCTGATGACAAATAATAATGTGAAATAATTTGCATGATGTTCACAACCAACATAATTAATTATGGTTGGATAAGTATGACGATTTTGCAGGCCGTTTTTAATGATAGACAGCAGCTAGACATGACTTGTAAATCATAATCTTCAAATGCTAAACAAACAGTATTTAGATTTTAGACACAACTTAGACGACAAGACATCCTAATATAATCTAGCTAATAGTGATGTGTGATCCATAAATTGATCATACAAAAGGTCAAGCAACTGACAAATTGAGTAAGAGCAAACTTAAACTTGTCATTATAAAATTACTACAAGCGAAGTGATGATCATCCCACCACCCACATTTGTGTAACATTAATTTCCTTGTTTAGACAATAATGTAGTCGAGTCGATATCAATAATCAATAGTCGCTCGCGGTTCCAACAAATCACGATCAAAGACGGGGATGGGAAAATTGGGAATGGACCGGCAGGCCTTTGCTCAACGTATAAAACCCTAAACTTTAAACTTTATATAAAAGTGGGAGCTGTCCACATTAACTTCCCTAACCACTTTCATCAGCTAATTAATTAATATTGCTTTTCACTTTGTTGTTCGATGTATATAGTAAAATCACCATCCATCATGAATACTGTTCTTCATGCATTGCCGTTTTGAAATTTTAATTATTTGTACACATGTTTCCATATAATTTATTGGCAGTAGCTGTTCTAGGTGATGCGTCCATCTTTTGCGTGTCGATCAAGAGAGCCATCGTCCAACTCAAGCACGTGAATATACAACAAACAGTATCATCTGCGACATTGACAATTTCACATCTCATGACTCATGACTCATGTATGTATACTTGTAACTTGCCTTGCCTTGCCTTTACAAACATGGACAACCATCCGATTGTCCATTACGTTGCGTCTATGTGTGGACTGTATATGTTTGATATCAGGCCCGTCGGTCAGATCATGAATAATTCAAAATTTATATAATATCATACGATCAAGGCTGTCTGTTTTATTATTTATGCATGCTTGACAGGCTTCAAAAGCTCCACATATGCGAGAGAGAACAAAATAATAAAGCATCCTTCCATCTTCCTTATCCGCCTGCACCATCACCATGTGGCCCCCCATATGCATGGGTTGCCCTTTAGCGCTTTATCCAGTACATACAATCATCTTACCCACCCACATCGCTCCAAAAAAATATATTAAGTCTCATTTGGTTCATGAAAAAGGAGACTTGAGGATGAAAAATTAATTATTTTATCATATTTAGTAAGTAGGGGGGAAAGTGAAGTCATCCTCCCCGCTTAAGTTTTGTTTTCCCTTATCGTGAGAAAATTTGAGAAAATAAGACAGCATTAAATGTACATTTTTCATGATCATTTTATCCCCATTAACAATTTACAATTATAATATATCATTAAATGCATTCTTTAAAAAAAATAAATTTTAATATGGGTATAATTGAAAATTTATACAAACTTTGTTTTCTATTTCTACTCAAAATAAACATGGAAAATGAAATAAAATGATATCTTCAAGTTATTTTACCAAACATGGAAAAAAAAACTTTCATTTCTCATCTCTTGATAAATAACATGGGAAGTGATTTCCCCTCAAATCGATTCCGTGAATCAAATGAGGCCTTGTTATTTTTGACCAACAACGTTATGATACATGTGATAACGCTTCCATATATATGACAAATCATTATTGATCGAAACTAACAAAATAGTACTATCCCTATTTCATAAAAGTCTTTCTCCACTTCCACACATGAATGTTGGCAAAGTCAAAAGCTCCACTCCTGGTAGAAATAGCTTCATTGAACAATGCTTCACTAAGACCATCTCCAATCATGTCGATGCTAACTCAAATTTTCACTCTCTAAAATACAATTATTCATGTATTTCTAAGACTCAAATTATTTTTTCCTCAAACCTTGCATACTCATAATTTGAGTCTGCAACTTTATTAAATTATTTAAGAATGGTTAATCCCTATTTTTTTTTTCGTTAATTTTTTTTGATATTATTTTTGTTTCAACATTCATGATTTAATTTTCTGAACATGTTGATCTAAAAAAAGAAAAAATAACTTTACTTAAAGAATAAAAGCAAGTATAACAAACAAAAGGGGTATTTATAGAGTTTGGAATGAGTTTTGAGGTTAGATCTAATTTAGATTAATTATAAAAATTATTTGGCCATTGGATTTAAATTTCAGCCGTTGGATGTGAAATTTTCCCTTCTAAATTGCCTAAAAATAATCGTGGCCATTGATCATATATAGATGTTGGAATTAAAAATAAAATAAAATGGGAAACATCAACTTCTTTGGAATAGTTGTTGGTACTTAAAAAAAAAGATCAGGAGCTTTCAAAATGGAGCCGTTGGATTTCAACGCCTCCTTCATGTGCCACGACACTTGTCACACAAAAAGGAAGTGAGTGGTCGACATCAATCTGCAACACAGGGCCTGTTTTTTTTCTCCTTTCACATGGGTTGCACAGCTGGCTATTGGGCTCCACATAAAATATCAGTCCAGGCAAAACTTGGACTGGAATTCCACCCCAAATTTGAGATTTCTCACATTTCCACTCTCCAAAATACATGGGTTGGAGAAGAATTTTGAACTCAAAACTGAAAATTTAGGTTTTCACCCCTTGAGTTGGAAATGACCTAAGAAGCACTTTTGTTGACCTATCTTATATATAAGCGTTTTTGTTTAAAATACTTTTATCATAAATATGTTCAAATTTTTATTAAAAGTCTAAGTGTAAATCTTGAAAAACGATGTTAGAAACGAGTTTGATTATATGAACTTACACTGGTTTTAGTATTTTTATAAACAATTCTAAACATATAGTTTTTTTTATTATTATAGAAATTATAGGATTTCATTCATAATTCAGCCACAAAGGGCCATTACAATAATGGAGCGATTTAATATCAAAATTAAGACAATCTGGTGTGCCTCTACTAAACAATTAGTTTTTTTTTTTTTTGAGAAATTTTGGAATTGCATTCATAATTCAGCTAAAAAAACCACTAGTCACAAAGGGTCAATACAAATTAGCCACAAAGAGCCATTACAATGATATAGCGATCTATCATAAAAATTAAGACAATCTGGAGCTCCTCCACTAACGAACACGCATGATCGAAGAAACTTTAGCATATGCATCTCAACTAAGAGTGCAAACTCATAATAACCAATAATAGATAAAGCTTGAAAAAACTAAACCATAATAATACAAATAAAACTTTCACAACGGAGATATGAAAAGCTCTCACAAACAGGGGCGGAGCTAGAATTGTAAAATTGAGGGGGCCGAAGTTAAAAATACAAGTATACAACACACATAAGTATTCAATAATTACATATTTAGAACTAAATATTTCTAATTGAGTCATGTCTAATTTGTTTTAGAGAAAATTTTAACTTAATTATTAAATTATTTATTACAAATTCTATATATTATATATAATATAATAGAGAAGGGATAAAAATATGGGGGGGCCAGGGCCACTCCAGGTCTAGGAGTGGCTCCGCCACTGCTCACAAAGGATGATAGGTGAAAAACTCTCACAAAATGATATGAAAGCTACACAAAAAACTCAAAGAGTCTCTGTAACTTATTCCAAACAAAAAGAAATCGCAAAAATGGATGTGATAGAGATCTGACACCAAAACGCATATGGAGATCTGGAGTCGAGATGCATCCGCCCGTGATGAGTGGAGGAAATTCATTGCAAAACGAAGGAAAACCTTATGTCTCTAAAAATTGGGGGAAATAGGAGAAGATACGTAGGAAGGGAGAATGAGAGAGGGGAGGAACAACAGTGGTTTCATCCTTCCTCAAAGTGGAAAAGGTTGTAGAATGATTTTTGCGGGAGAGAGGACTAAAGTTTTTGCGTTATTACTCTAGTATAGACTTTGCGTTATTTATTACTAACATGTAGTTCTAAACATGTCATAATAATTTATTATTATTATTATTTTATCGAACATAATAATTACTTATTGTTATTTAGTTCAATTGATATATAATTTATAAACATCGTGACATTGATTGACTCATGTTTAGATTTGCAAACCACCATATTAGATAGACATATGATACGATAACGATCTGAGAAGCAATAGGTTATTATTGTAGTTGTAACTTTTGTATGATATGATATAAGTAAAGTTGTATGATATGATATAAGCAATGTATGAATAAATATTTATTCATATATATATATATAATGTTAAATTATATTTTGTGGACCTTAATTGTTATATTTAGTTATATGTGGACATCAAATTTATTGACAAAGGGACCATTTGGGTTCCCAGTAGTAGAGGCAAAAGGGTCATCAGCAGTTCAATTACAACTACTCCGCATAACAGAGACAAAATATATATGTATATATCATGAGGCTGAGCTTAAAGCTTCCGATTTCTATCACAAAACCAGCTAAGTTTTTCGGTGTTAATGCCAATATGAATATGATCTATATTCTACACAGTAGTACACTACCATTCCACCATTAAACAGAAGCAACGATAAATTGAGATTAGACGGCCAACATTGAAGCATCCATGTGAAGCTTGACTTTGGTATATACAACGACACAAGTACCATGTGATTTGACATTTCGTAGAGGAAAAGCGAACCATGGCAAATGGCAGACAAAGTGACAAGTGAGACTAATACCATCTTGTAATTGTTTAGAACCGACATTTCAATTATTCCCATTTTTGACTTCTTTTTCGACTTTTTATGAGCTTGAAGGGACAACACAACTACACCGAATCAACACAAACAAGACCGCCATCAAATCACCACTTACCATTTATTTATTAACATAATATATATGTAATGTGTCACATAGACATTACAATTCGGGATTTAATATCTGAAAATTCTGGAATTTAATTGATTAGGAAATAGTTAGACTAGTAATTATCTCCTTTATTCCCTGATGTGGTTTATATTAATTTCACCCATTCCAAATAACCAGCGGAAAGACATTCTCTGATCACTACACAAGGCCCACTTCGGATCAGATGACAAGGGCCTTCTCACATTTC